ATCCTTGGAAGAGAGGCAATGAGGAGCGCAGGGACCACTCGTCCTGTGCCGTGGGGTGAAGAGAGGGAAGGTCTGGGGGGATTGCAGAGTCAGAAGAGGCCTTTTGTGTTGTTGGTTTTTGGTGTTTGGCCACTGGTATGGGGATACAAACCCTTGGTGTTACAACACCATGCTCTAACCAACTGAGCTAACTGGCCAGCCCTGGAAGAGGCCTTTTGGACAATGCGGTCCTGACAGAAGACTCTTGGGTCCCTCTGTGTTCCTGTCCCTTCATTCCTCCCTCTCCCCCTAGGTCCTGACGGGTGAAGACTGGAATTCTGTGATGTACAATGGCATCATGGCGTACGGCGGGCCGTCCTACCCTGGCGTGCTCGTGTGCATTTACTTCATCATCCTTTTTGTCTGCGGCAACTGCATCCCCTCAGGAGCAGGGTGCAAAAAAGACCCTAGGGAGGGAGTGGTGAAAAGGGCTTAAGATGGGGGCCGAGTGTGCCCACTTGCTAGGCAGCCAGACCTTCTGGCTGGAGGGGAGCTCCGGGCTCATGGCATGCATGGGGGGTAGGACATAACAAATGCAGGTATAGCTGTAGGTTCATTCCTCCACCAGAAAGGTTAGAGAACCACAGGCGTGATTGGTTACAGGAGGGAGGAATTAATCCCAGCAAGGCTGGTGAGCCTGGAGCAGAAGGAGGCCGGACAGGGCTCAGCTGAGGAGCAGTGGAGATGGTGGGACAGCCTGGTCCAAAGGTTTGGAGGCAGGCAGGGAGGAACCAGGACTTTGTGGCCAGGGGTGATCAGCCTGAACACTGGGACCAGAAAGACTGAGACAGGACAGGCCAAGAGGTGAGATGAGCAGATGGGAGGTTGAGGTGGATGGTGGATGGGCTAGAGAGATGCTGGCAGTGCCCGAGCAGTCCTGACGCCAGTACCACAGGATCTGAGAGTATGGGAGGGTGCACGCACAGGGTGGGGACCATTGTGCCTTGAGCTCATGGGTGCCTAGCATGGTTTTCACTTGCTCTGCCTCACTGGCTCCCACACAGCCCCAGGTGGGAGCTGGGGTCAGTTCTGGACAGGAGATGGGGGAGATTCAAAGGCCAAGTGGATTCAGGCCGCATGGTGGGTACCCTCTGCAGGCAGGCCTCCTTGAGTTCCATCATCTTTGTCCCTAGGCCCACGCCCTCCCACGGGGTAGCTCAGGCAAGAGGGACTCCAACTACCTCACCCAGAGAGTGGGGTTAGGTCCGGCCGACATGCAGGCAGTGTGGGACTCCTTCCTCAAGGGCTTTCCTTCCACCACAACTCAAGTTTCCTTAGCTGGACCCTTCAGATATCCTGCTCAATGTCTTCCTGGCCATTGCCGTGGATAACCTGGCTGAGGCAGAGAGCCTGACTTCTGCCCAGAAGGCCAAGGCCGAGGAGAGAAAACGCAGGAAGATGTCCAAGTGAGTGCTGCGTCTACAACAGGGGAGGACCTGGAGTGTTCAGTCTCGGCTGTGGCCTCTCAGCTCTGGGGCGTCCCCAGAGCTGATGAACAGGGGCCACGACATCATGACACCTGCCCCCACGAGCTGGCTTCTGCAACCAGCACGTGCAGGGACTGCTGAAGTCCTGTGAGGTGTTCCTGCAGGCAGGACTAGAGGCAAGCTGGCCTTCTGGACAGGCCTCAGGAAATGTGATGGCAGAGCCAGGCAGGATGGCCCAGGCCACCCTGGCCAGAGGTCCTGGGAGCTCCCGTCCTGCCTTGCTACAGAGTCTCTGTGCTTCTTGGAGGGAGTCATTTCCCTTTGCTGATCCTCAGGCATCCTCTCATCTGTGAAGAGTTGACTACTCAGGTCCTTTACAAGTCTCTCCATCTACGGTTTTGTCATTTAACTCTCTGTGGCCTGGGGCCCTCCTCTGGGAGTGGAAGCAGGACTGGTCTTCTAGACAGTGTTTCTCAAATTCAGACTGATTCAAAGTTTGAATCACCTGGGGACCTGGTTGAAATGCAAATTCTGATGCAAGAAGTCTGAATAGAGGAGGGTGGGGTTGAGGTTCCGCATTTCTAACAAGCTCCCTGGCAGCGCCAGTGCTGCCAAATTCAGACTGATTCAAAGTTTGAATCACCTGGGGACCTGGTTGAAATGCAAATTCTGATGTAAGAAGTCTGAATAGAGGAGGGTGGGGTTGAGGTTCCGCATTTCTAACAAGCTCCCTGGCAGCGCCAGTGCTGCTGGCCAGAGGACCATGCTTTGAGGAACTAGGTTCTAGACAGGTCTGGTCCTTCCAGTGCCCATGCCTGCAGGAATGTGGAGGCAAGATGGGAAGAGAAAGGGAGAGAGAGACCAGCAATGGAGTCCAGACGTTTCCAAAGAGTTGGAACCGTCTTGGACAAACCATGCTTCCACCTTGTGACTTCTTTATGAGCCAGGTGCGAAGCCACTTCCCACCCATTCACTGCCAGTGAAGAGTGAATATGGCTGACCAGTGAGCCATGTTCAGCCATGGGCTCAGGCTGGGTATCACGCCCTCTCATCATAGAGAAAGCACTTGCCAGGCCTACTGCCCTTCCCACTGGTGGCCAATGCTGCTTCTTCCCCACAGATCCCCCTAAGCCCTTGCTGTGGGGTCCCCTGAAGGTGGTTGTCAGGCTGAGCAGATCCCTGAGAACTTTCTCGTTGTGTTTCTACCTTGGGTTTTTCTGGTTTTCCAACTCAGGGGTCTCCCAGACAAGCCAGAAGAGAAAAAGTCCATCATGGCCAAGAAGCTGGAACAGAAACCCAAGGGTGAGGGCATCCCCACCACCGCCAAGGTGAGCACCTCTGTGGACTATTTTAGAGGCAGGATGTGGAGTGGGGAGGTGGGAGAGTGGTCGTCTGCCTGCTTACCAGCCAGATGAGGGCATCTTCCTGCCTTCTGTTAGAGGGAGAACCAATGGCTACGCCTCCTCCAAGGAATCCTGAACTAAGAGGCAGACACCCCAATCCGGGAACCAGACTTCCTCAGAGCCCCAGTTTCCCGCCCCTGCTGACACCCACTATTCCATTAAAAGGCCCAGACTGGCACCCACCATTTCTAGCTCTGGCCTGCTCATCCAGGCTGGCTCTGCTCCACCTTCCTGGAGACTAAGGGAGTAGAGTTCAAAGGGTCAGGGAGCAGGGCTCCAGAAGGGCTGGGGACCCTGGCCTGGGGCGCTCAACTCTCTTCTAGAAAACCAAGCAGGGGGTGCAGTGAAGACAGGCTGAGACAGGCCTGGGCCTTGGCTTTGCCCCGTGGTAGCTCGGGCCTCTCTGTTGTAAAAGGGGGATGGTCACAGTATCACCCATCGCTCAGGCTGTGGGAGGACGGAGTGAGCCCAGAGCTGTGCAGGCCTCCAGCCCTGCTCAGAAGTGGAAACCGCCCGCAGCTTTTGTTTTCATCACTCTCTTCATTGTGTTCCTTCCTACAGCTGAAAATCGATGAGTTTGAATCTAATGTCAATGAGGTGAAGGATCCCTACCCCTCGGCTGACTTCCCAGGTGAGGGTCCCTGAGCCAGGCTGGAGCGGGATGGGACTGAGTGGGGGATCCCTACCCCTCGGCTGACTTCCCAGGTGAGGGTCCCTGAGCCAGGCTGGAGCGGGATGCTGGGACTGAGGGGCAAGCGTGCTGTGCTGGTTCTCCCCACGGGCCGTCTCTTCTGTGCCCCCACCTGGACCCTTC